ATATCACATGATCTCTCATTTCCCTCACACAAAATAATGCGTAATCGGAACTGAGTACTGCTCACATTATTACCAAAGTCCCAGGTAGTAACCTTTATCGCCTCCAAAATGTCGCCAAACTACCAGTTACCATATTGTAAAGATCAGCCCAAAGGAGCACCAAATTCTACAGTATAGGCAAACAAGAAAATACATAATCTCAATAAAATACATTTTAAACCAAACAATAAAATAACATAAAAAAGGAAAAACATTTTATACATTTAAGCACTATCAAAAGCAAATATTCACTTACCATGATTTTCGAGTTCGCTTCGTACACCCAGAGCCACGTAAAAATCAAAATATCAGTCATACTCAAATGACTTTTTTCAAACCAGGTACTCTTTCTGATGGAACGCTTCACGTAATGACCATCTGAACCTTTCTTCCTACAAACCCATTCAAATCCATCTAAACGGTTTTTACGTTCGACTAAACGCATATCCATCCTACATACAGGACACTTATAATGGCTACTAAGTAAACCTTCATTTACACACCAGTCAATTAAAGCTCTTTTCCTCTTTCGCTCCAAATCATACAGAAGCTTCAAATTACAAATTAATCTTACTGCATTCGGCCATTCTTCCGTCTAAAGAATCAAACCAACACACACCACAAAAATGCTTTCAAAACATCCTATGTTTCAAAATTTCCCAGAATCATGCACCCGATTACGTTACAATAGGGTTTCCATAACATTCAATGACTCAGGCTACCATAAATGAAACAACAACTTGGCGATAAATGAAACAACAACTTCGCCATAATACAAGGGGTACCTTAAAGTATACTCTACCCCAGATTTTTCATTGATTTAATTTTTTAATACATATTATCTATACTGCTTTTTGCTATAATGTTAATGTGACAATAAGGTACATTAAAAGAAAAGTAAGACTGTACGTTGTTAGAATAATGTGCGTATTTTGAATAAGAAGTAACTTTTATTACTTTTATAAATCATTTTATTACTGTGATAGTTAACCACAGAACATCTTAAGTTCATCTATATGTATATAATTTAACATATTTTATCCATTTGGTGTGTGTACTAACTATGTTGTCCTGTGTTTAAATGTGGTATTTCTTTAATTTTAAGAGAATGCTGATTGCTTGTAAGGAAACATGATCTATTATTTAAAAGTATGTGAGATTAGAAATTTGTTGGTGGTGATTCATTCAGGTACTATTCAATGCCATAATGTTCTTTGCAAAAGTGTTACACATGTTAAAATTTAATTTGGTACATGTGTAAAATCATATGGACGAGTAAAGTTGGCACAAATTCCACCAAACTGATAGCAAATTGTTTCATATTGTTCCCCAGTGCATATTTAATGGAAATTAAAGCAGAAAGTTAATTTTTAAAAATGTTGACTTCTCTGTTTTAGAACATACTATTAAAACAGTTTCTGACACAGTTAATTTACAAAATTAACTAAACATAAAAGTATTTTAAAATTATTAGCAACAGCTACAGAAAGCTATTTAAATGAAAAGCCTATAAAAAATAGCATTATGCTGGTTGCTAAAACTCCCTAATAGCATTCAAAATGATAAGTCTTCTTTATGAAGACAATGCCAAATAAAGTAGCATAAATACAAGTGCTTTTGTGCAGTTCTGCGATGCTTTTTGTTTCGTCATTTTGCTGAACCCCGTAATCTTTCAATGTTATGTGTTTGTGCACCAGTATCTGGGTCAACAAAATTATAACTGTGATTAACCTTGAAATATTCAAAATTTTCAGCTCTTATTTTGTGAGTCTTGTATGCCATCCACAAGTCAGAAAAAATAAGATACTTCTTTTAATATTTTCGGTACTTGCGTATTATCGCAACCAGGTTGGCGCAATTTGTAAGTTTGAGTAAAAAAGTATGAATAGAAAGAAAATGTACATTTATTAATTACAGATAATTTTTAATACAGTTTTTTATATTATTTTGTTTTAAAATATAAAATAGCAATTAAACCCTTCCGGTTTCGAATTTGAATAAGTTGCAGAATTATTTTTTCGGCGGAAATCTTTTGGCTATTGCTTTTAGCACTGATTGAAAACCGTCTTCACCATTAACAGTTTGAGCTTGGCGCCATATAAATTCGATAAGGTATGAGTCAAGATGATGACGGCCTGTTCCTTTCTGTTTTTTGTTGCGCCATTTGGCTGAGCCCCACATGTACTCTACATAAAAAATAGCATTATGCTGGTTGCTAAAACTCCCTAATAGCATTCAAATGATAAGTCTATAAATAATAATGATAATAAATAATAAATGATAAGTCTTCTTTATGAAGACAATGCCAAATAAAGTAGCATAAATACAAGTGCTGTTGTGCAGTTCTACGATGCTTTTTTTTTCGTCATTTTGCTGAACTCCGTAATCTTTCAATGTTATGTGTTTGTGCACCAGTATCCGGGTCAACAAAATTATAACTGTGATTAAACTTGAAATATTCAAAATTTTCAGCTCTTATTTTGTCAGTCTTGTATGCCATCCACACAACACAACGTATCATATGTTGTGTGTGGACGCCCATGTTGGGATCCACAAAGTTATATTTGTGATTAACAGTTCCATGCAGAAATCCAGCATTTTCGAACTCACTTGTATTGTACCCTTTTCAGCAATCCAAATAAATGATGCTTCCTTCCTTGATATTTTCGCAAATTTTTTCCATGAGAGTAACGGCGCTTCTGTTAGGTACAGTAACCAAAAAAGTCTTTCTTTTCTCGGCAAATTCTGCCGAAAACCCATTGCTGTGGTAGTACACGCCCAGCGTTATTTTTTTTTTTTACAAAGAAACTTTTTTCTTAAACACGTAGGGTTGCCGTAAGTAGGGTCGCCAAATTTGGGGATTTATGCGAATTTTGGCCTGGTTGCGTTAATACATAAGTACTATATTTTCTTTAATTGCTTGTAAGAGGGTTGCTGCTATCAATCAGGAACTCTTATGATAAAACACTTGACCAATTTCTACAGACATCCATTGCTCAGAGAGTATTCTATTTGTTTGGTTTTTGCATTTTGAGAAGTTCTCAAAATGCAAAAAGGACTGTGAGATTTCCACTGTGTGGTTAGGTCCTCTGATTTTTTTTCTTTTAGTCTTGACAAAAGGCTGCATGCACAAGCTTCTCTTAAATAATTATTCCAATCTATCACTGTCTTATTACTCAAATGGAATTTTTCTTTTCTCCATTCAGGAGTTGTTCACTTATTGCACCAACAGTAAATAAATCTGAGTGCGGTCAGAAATGCTATATTAACCCTCCAACTAAGTTTCTTAAAGAATGGATACTCGCTTGTCACAATTTTTAACTTTACAATGCCATCGTTTGTCTGACTTCAAGTAAATTTTCATAACGTGCTCGTTGATGAATTTTTTTGATGCCAAAATCCCATTAGTTTCAAAATGCTCAGTCGCATTCTGTTCTATAGTAGTTAGATCCCAAATTTTTATCATTTTGGGATGTAAAAGCAGAGAAATAGCTGTTAGAACTGAATTCTGGTTTAAAGAAACACAAATAGTTTATCAAAGTAACAACCATGTATTTAGTATATAGTTTAACATTGTTGATGAAAAATCGTGTTTGGAAACATTTTTTTGGTTTTCGCAAAAATGGTCAATGGGATTTTATACATGTGCCTTTAATTCTATTTTATATTTACTTATAATTTAATATGAAAGCAAAATCGGCAATTTTTTTTTAATCTATGTATTATGCATTCTACATCGTCTATGTATTATGCATTTGTACAGCTTGGCAATCGTAGATTTTGGGCGGCTTCCTTGTACTATTAGTAAAGTCTCTTTCTCGCCAAACTTAACCTCATCTCTAATACAGAAGTATCCAATTTTAGTACATTTTGATCTTTAATGACCTGACAACATACTTTGGCTAATCTTTGGAATATGGCAACATTTTGGTAAGGCGATAAAGGTTACTAGCTAGGACTTTAGCGATGTACATGGATAAAGCCAAGAGTGTGCGCAATGCCATTTTTGTACAATTCTAAGATTTTTTTTTTTAAGTGAAAATAGGTCGACGTGTACATGGATACCGTGTATGTGCAATTCTTAAAAATGCGGCAAGCAGTTTGCGACTCTGCACTTTCTCCCAATTTCGCACCTAATCTTCATCATGATTAAGCACTTCTGTTCCATAAAAGTTCTAGTATAAGCATAATTTGGCTAGCAGATTGTTGGGAAAAAAATGTTGAGTAAAAAAAAAAAAAAAAAAAATTGCCTTTACTTCGTGAAAACAAAATTGCATCCAAACTACTAGCAGGTTGCCGTAGCAGGGTTGGACTCCAAATTTTTGCCAAAAAATTGCCAAATTACCATAATCCAAAGATTAACCTATACTTTTTGGGGGTGTGTGTCAATTTCATTGTATGAAATATTTTTTTTTGTGCGTATGAAGCAAGAATTGTGTAAGGTTATCCTTTTTCTGTCAATAATATTAATTTTAATCAAACTACTAAACCTTTTTGTGCAGACTAAGCCGGTTGAAATTAAATCTGTCTTGTTTTGCAATATGAAATCCCTTAGAAGTAGTTTAATTATATCATTGAATATTCTTCCACTTTTTTATTTGATTTCTGGTAAAAGAGGTTACCTCATTTCTATCTTTCTCCTCCCCCCTCGCTCCTTTTTCCTCATTTTTTCTTTAAATGCAATGTAAATCTCTTTCCATAAAAAGTTGACTACAAAGTACAGTTTTACATGATATGATATACGCATATGGTAACCTTATGTGCTTGAATCATTGTAAATATCTATATTCCATGTGTATCATTGATATCATATTGTTGTTACATTTTCATCATAGGAATTTCTTAAAAAAGTGGGGTTGGATTGATTACTGCTTAAAAACTTTTCTGGCCTAACATAAGTACATTACATTATTTTTTTTAAATTGGCAATTTATAAAAATAAAATGTATTTGTACTTCCAGAGGTCATGGAACATGGGCAGATGAAGATGATAAAATATGTGCCACTGTTGCTGGTTCTGTTGAACGAATAAATAAGTTGTACTCTGTGCGACCTCAGCGATCTCGGTAAAACTTAATATTCTTATTTATTCATAATTTTTTATTATTTTATTTAATTTTGTATTTTAAGGTATGTAGTATAATGTTTTTTAGGGTATAGTTTCTTTGCACAGTTCATCATTATAGTGATAGGTCATCTTTTTTATTTATTTTTTTATTAATTTATACTTTTGTCTATAAACATGTTACAATTTTCAGTTTGCATCAACTAAAAAAGATCCAGTTTTGTTCTTCTAAGGAAAAGAAATTCCACTACACGTTATGTGAGAAAAATCGTGAAATGGAAAAACTTATGTGGCATAAGTAAATAATGCCTGAAAAAGGCAACTCTTGACAAAAAATGATTTTCTCTACTGTTAGTCTGAAAAAATATCATTCAAATATCGCAGTTATAAAACGTGGTACAAAATATTGCCATCGAAAATAAAGTGGTTCAAAAACTTTGCAGTTTAAATACACCATCGTCGAAAATATGATGGTAAAAAATAAAGTACCTACAAATCATCACATGACGATAACATCGCACGCATGCGTTTTCCAGCTTTTAAAAGCTGTAAATGCATTTTCGCATAATGATTGGGGAGCGCAAGAAGGAAAGAGGGATATTTTTACTTCTATATTTCATATTTTGATTGAACTAATAAACTTTTGCTGAAAACAGCAAATGATTGTGAAAAAAGTTTTCTTGGGGGGGGGAGGAATCTGATAATAAACAAATCAAAGTTTCAGATTTTAAATTACGTCCAAGTTTTGTGTGTTACTTTTATTTATTAAATATCACGTTCTACACACTTAAACTATAAAATTCAGTTCAATAGCGATATCGCAAATTAATTTTTAAATGAGCATATCTTTAGAATTTCAGTACAAAGTCTCTCGCACTGGAGATAAAAATGTTTTTATCTTGGTTTGGAAACCCTTTTTATCTCTAGATGTGAACTGTGTATCGGAAATTCTAAAGATATGCTCATTTTAAAATTATTTTGCGATATTGCTGTTGAACTGAATTTTATGGTTTAAGTGAACTGAATTTTATGGTTTAAGTGTAATTTTATGGTTTAAGTTTTATGGAACATGATATAAATAAAGGTAACAGCTTTGCCATAATTTAAAATCTGAAAGTTTTCAAATTTTTTTACAATTTTTATTTTATTTTATTTATTTATTTTTTGTATCCAGTTTACATCTACTACTTGTATGAATTTAAAGATGCAGGGCAAAAAAGCTCTGTGCTTTCTGATTATTCACACCCACATCTAAAGATGCCAACTCTCATTGACTGAAAACATTTGTTTGGGTGTCTTTACAACTTGCAGAGACTGTTCTATTTGTAAATAATAACAAGGAGAAGCATTTTGTAAAAATAAAAATTTTTGCTAGAAAAAAATTTATTTAGACAATATTTGTATTTTCATGGCTGGTGCATACTGCTTAAAGAAATGTCTTAAATGTAGAAAGGTACATAAATTTGCATGTACTGAAATAAATATATGGTACGTGCCTGTGTGGATTGTTTATTATCATGTATATACTAAAAAATATGCCATAAATGGGCAAAATTACTGAAAGGTGTTTTGAGTGGTGGTGAAAATGGTTTTAATGGCATCTGAAAATTCAAAATTTGAGAATAGCACACATTTGTGTGAGAGAAGAGGACCAACTGATTGATTTGAATGGCATTGCCGATAACAAGGGTGTGTGAATATATATGTGAATATATATGATGCTTGTGGGATGTGAAGAGAGCATGTTAGTTTAATAAAAGTCATTTGAGCATTTATGACATTCTACGGAGTTGGGAATATGTATGAATGAATTTATTCGGGAGAAAGGTCCATTAGGGAATTGAGGTCAATTAAAAATGTTTATTTCCTTTAGCACACTGCTATTTAGTATCTATTTTTCTGTAATATCTACAAGAACAGTTACATTTTAGGAAACACTGTACAGAAGTGCCCCGAATTGGTGATTTTTCAATATCGTGCTAAGTTGTAAACTGAGACACATTTTCCCTTTTTGAAGCTGTAACTGTGTGTATGGGAATTCTCATATGTAATTTTATAAAAAACTGTTGTGGTAAATATACTTGCTGTATTGCTTTCAAAAAGCAAACATTTGTTTAAAAATATTGTTGCGTTTTTCTTTTCCTTACACCAGTTGTTACATTATTTTCTTCCTTCACGTTTGTCCGGGGTTCGTGCCCACCAGCGGCCGAGTGGTAAAGTCGCTGAACACTGGTAGTTCGGTCCGAGGTTCGAATCCCGCGAACGGACTGGCTGCATGGGCGTTTTCGTGGTTTTCCCCATGTGTAACGTGTATACGAGCCAGTTTCCCTTAGAAAGTCCTCCACGAAAGGCATCCCTCCCTTTAGGCAGATGGCCCTCGAGGCTTTGCATACTCACACACACACACACACACGTCCGGGGTTCGTAGATTTGGAGTGAATAACGATGACACTTGATGAAGTATCGAAACACACTTTATTAGCCAGTATCGTCAGGACAGCTCCAAAACACGTTTTACAGTTGTCGATGAACTACTATAAACACGCTGACATGATCAGCGACACAGCCTCCAGGTTATCAAGCTATCATAGTGAAGACAGCTTCACGGCAAAACACTAGAGTACAGCTCCTAACTCTGCTTGGTCGTTCTCAGAATACCACATACTCTCGAAACTCTCCATGCTACAACTCGCAATGCACTCGACGACACTCTAAGCACAGCTCCCGACTCTTTGGTTCAGTCGTTCCCGGAGCTCAACACACCCTCTCGACGATGCACTAATAGACTCCTTCGGTGAACTCGACGACCCACTCGGCACTCGCTGCCCGGCTGTCAACTCGATCGACTCTGCACGGATTGACTCGCTAGACGAGACACCAATTTGATACTGACTATCTCGCACTCTGACTCGCCCTCTCGACGAGGCACACTTCTCTTGCACTGTGGACCAGTGCAGTTTATATAGCTTTCGGCTTGTGTTCAAGAACATTCTGGGCTAAACCGGTAAGAATTCATTCCAGAAGGTTCTCCATCAGTCCATGGCATAGTGCCAATTTTGTCACCAAGTGGGCGATTTCTCGCCATATGTGGCAACCCTGCCTTCCTTTACCATTTTATGGCAGTTCTAAAACTTGCTTTGCAGGGAAGCTATCCCACCGCATCTGTTCATTTCGTAACAATATAGACATGGCCTTGTTTACTTAGAAAGTCATATCTTGTGTTCTGTGAGCCGTTGCAATGTTTCAATTATGTATGCTGGTTATGATGATTAATCATCATAACCAGCATATAGTAGATTATGTAGTAAGCATATAGTAAGTAGATTATGTGAAAATGAAATCTATTTCAAAGCCCTTGTCCATAATTTTTTTTTCAAATTGTAATCTGTATGTGCATCAAAGTTGACTGTAGCAGATCAGGAACAGTAACATTTATAATCTCGGGAACGCTAAAGTGTCAATTTAAATACTACTGATTCTGTTAATTAGTGTTGATTAATTCATTTAAATGCTACTAATAGCTCTGTCAAAAGTTAGCATCTCTAAATTAGACTGATATTGTAAAATTAACATTTGATTTAACTTAGATGTGTGTTGAGAAGTCTGCAGGTTAGTTTGTTTCAGTTAGTATAACCATTAAACTGTTGTGTTAATAATTTTTTTATTCAGCTTTCACTGTTACAATTCTAGCTATGGAAGTCAAATGGGATGAATAATTGTTTGACTGCCTTTTGCAGTTACTTGAGTTGCTAATTGGTACTTTAAATTCAATAGTTTGTTTAAATTCAAGAGAATTTACTATTGATTGTTAAAGTGAATTTCCAAAGAAAGAGTATGAGCATGTGTGGAAAAGCCAGAGTAAATCTTTGTAAAATAGGTTTAAAAGGATTTTTTTTTTTTTTTTTTTTTTTTAATTTTGCAGTACAGTACGAAGTTTGATATCCAGACTTGTTGGGAGTTCTGCGATTCCGGATTTGGGATTTTTTCCGGATGAAATAATGAAGTATTTATGATTTAAAGCAGTGCTCCGCAACCTTTTCTCACCTGCGATGCACAAAAAATCTTTCTGGAATTTCGTGGCACACCAAAAGCTAATGTATATATGTATTGATTTATACACAAAATTTACAATAAATTTTTGTTTTTAATTTAAAAAATATACAATTATAAAACCATAACATATTTATTTATATGCAATCATAATAATTATCAATGTGATACCTGCGCTTAAAAAAAAGTTATATATTTTTGAGTTCCGAGTTATTATCAAGGAAGTGCCGAAAAAATTCAAATGCTGACACACTTACAATCACACACACAACCACACAACAGTGAAATATATAAAAACATTTAAAATAGACATTATTAAGGAAAAAAAATTGTCATTGTGTATTAAATACATGATAAAAAATTGCAAAATGTCAAATACATGTATTTGATTGCGGCACACCTATACCCTACTCATGGCACACCAGTGTGCCGCGGCACACCGGTTGCGGAGCACTGATCTAAAGGGTATCAAAATTTAACAAAATGCTTAATATTTATTTGTTTACTTTATTAAACATTTCTTTCAAGTAAATTGTTTAAGTTGCTTCATTTTTTGTGCTAATACTTTCTCTTTAATTCTGTAGACAGACATAATTTCTTGTTTAGTTACATTGTTGAAGTCCTGTAACTGCTGTTTCGAGAATTCTGAATATCTTGTCAATCGAAATTTTCTGGTTTTCAGTAACTTCTTTGCCACTTTCTTCACTATCGGTACTTTCTGGATCTAGAACCATACTACAGATTTCACCATCTATTAACTGATTGATGATTGAGGAGTATTTTCATCACGATGAAAAACTTCTTTTATATCATCTTCATTTATTATCGCTTCTCCACATTTCTTTACAAAGTTGGTTAATTGAAAAATTTCACCTTTGGTTTGCAATATCTGAAAACCTTTAAAATTCACGGCTAACATCATAAAATTTAACTATTGTTCACTATGCATAATTGGCTTTGTATCATGAGATTGGTGACTGAAAATAAGTTGTTCCGCTAAAGTTTATCTCGTTTCTATTTTGCACTGAGACGATTGAGCCTGAATTGTATTAGTTTAATTATTTATTATACTTATGTCTATTCTTGCGTTGAAAATTTTAATCTAATTTTTAGTGCATTAAACTTAAATCTGTAATCATCGCCAAACGTAATGTCAACATAAAAGGTTATCATACTCTTTATTATTCAATTACTAACATAAAAAAATTTGTTTAGGTATCACTACATGAGTCAATACTCAAGTTGTCATGTGTTGATAAACATGCGGTGATGAAAGCAAAATATAACAAATAATGATTCGTGAGGTTGGCGTCAGGGATATAAAATATTAGTAGGTCTAAAATTAAGGATGCATCTATGTAAAATGTTTTGGTTTGAGATGTAATGCCAAGCAGATACGCATCTACAGAGCCAAATTATTGATCATGCAAGTGTATGCTAAAATGATTGTTTCTTCAATAACTAGGTATTTTATTTAGTGCCGAAGTGAAACTAAGAATCAGACTCTCCACATGTTTTATCAAATGATCAAATGTGCATGCCTAAAGATACAAAAAAAGATGTTGGCTTTGAGGTCCGGAGTTTAGATCATTCCGGATATTGGACGTCCGGATCTCGGGTTTTGTACTATAATTTAAAATTGCACAAAAAAAGAACTAATTGAATAATATTCTGATGTAAGTTTTACTTTTGTATGAATAATAACATTAACTTTTTAAAAAAAATTAATTTGTCTCATTCCTGTCCAGGACACACTTTGTTTAAGCCCATAGTTAAGATAATAGAGAAAAAGAAAACTTATGTAAGATATGTTAGTGAATTAAAATTCTGAGTGCTACATATTCAAAATCTAAATATGTAGCATTTAGAATGTAATTCATTTCTTAAATTCAGTTTTTCTGAAGAATTCCATAAATTGTTTAAAATTTTTAATGTAATGTTTAGGTATAGTATCTTTTTTTTAGTTACAGTGGGGAAGTTGGAGATGTTGTAGTTGGCCGAATAGTTGAAGTTCAGCATAAAAGGTGGAGTGTGGATGTAAATGCTCGATTGAATGCCATTTTATTACTTACATCAGTTAATTTACCTGGAGGTGAATTAGTAAGTAAATAATGAAATACTTTCATTGCTTCTAAATATGCTTCATTGGAATTTTTCCTTAATTATGGAATTATACCTGACAGAGACGAAAAACGGAAGAAGATGAACTGATGATGAGAAATTATCTTGAAGTTGGAGATCTTATCAGTGTATCCTTTATTTCATTTTTAAATGATTAAACATGTGTATATTAATTCATATATGAGATTGCTTAAATGCTTGATTTATTTATAAAAATATATGTACAAGTATCTATCTGTATATAAAAAAATGCCTAACAGAATCTTTATAATATCATTAGTCTGATTATCCTTTTGTGTGTGCAAAGTGTGATATAAAAACTTTTCAGTTTCTGCATGTTGCTGGAATTTATCTCACTTATCTGACAAAAACATCTGATGAAGCCTGTGAGTTTTATAGTGGCTAGGATTGCAAGGTTGTTTTTGTTGTGGGCATGGGCACCTTATTAGGTGAGACCTTGCCCACCTCTGCCTCAGTTTTAAAGGAGGTGGATGGCGATCCACTGGTCTCAGTGATCTTTTTCCCTGCCGTTAAACCTCTTGAACAGTATCAACTTGCCAATATATAAAGTGTCTCCAAGTTAAAAAGTGACTATATACTTGCAAACATCCAAACCTTTTCCAAGATTTGGGCCTATTAAAGCAAGCATTGCTAACCACTGTGCCAGTTAAAGGATTGATAAATATGCTGGGTGTTTTAAGAATCAAATTAAAAATATTGGTTACTTATATAAAATTACGTGTATTCGAAACTTATGTTTTAAAGCAAAGTTGTGGTAGATATTTTTGAATAAATAACAAACTTATATTTATAAAAACAAATCTAGAAACAAAATTAAAAAAATCTCCATTATTAAATAAATGCCCTAAAACATATATTACCTGCTGATATCCCTACATCTGGTGGTGATTTAAAAAAAGGTATGTATTTTCATCCTAAGGCCTAACAACCTGTTTTTAGCAAATAGACAGCAAGAAGGAAACTAAAAGGAGTATTTAATAAATTTTGAGTCTGATAAAATGCTTGTAAGAAATCACGGGTTATAATAAATAAACAGGAGAAGCAATTGGGACACTTGATAACTTCTACACCTAAATACACTTATGTCCATAAATTAAGGATAATTCGGAGTCACGCGGAAATCGAACTCTAAAATAAATATATGACCTATAAAATCACTACACATCTTCAAGAATCATATGCAAATTTCAGGAAGTAACCAGATGACACCGATGGTACGTCACAATGACGAGAGTGTAAGAGAGTGATATATAAGGAATCCAAGCAAAGAAGTAAAATTGTTCGCAGGCGCTTTATAAGCATTTCAGTGCAATAACCGAATAGTTATGACACATAGGACGCATTTGGATGATTTTTTTACATGGTAGAATTATCGGCCGTCTGGAATGTGGGCGTACCCAACTGGAAGTATCAGACGGACTTGGAATTGCCCAGAGTGTCATCTACAGGCTTTGGCAACGATTATAAGATGATGGTAATGTGAGTAGACGTTACAGCACAGGTCGCCCCAGAGTTACTATGCCGAATGAGGACCTGTATTTGGCAGTTACTGCCAAAAGAAACAGGCGGAGCACAGCCTCAGACCTGTCTCGTCAGCTCTCTTCAGCCACTGGTACGACAATTTTAAGGCAGACCGTGTACAGACGCTTAGGGCAGATTGGTCTATATGCTTGTAGACCTGTCAGATGCGTTCCACGTACTGCAACTCACTGTCGCTTGCGGTTAGCCTGGAGTAGAGAGCATGCATTATGGACACCGCAACAGTGGGCTTGTGTGATGTTTTCCGACGAGTTCAGGTTTAGCTTGCAGTCTGATTCTCGCCGGACTTTCATATGGAGAGTACCAGGTACCCGTTACCACCAAGAAAACATCATTGAACGACACCGTTACGGTGGTGCAGGAGTGCTTGTTTGGGGTGGAATTATTCTGGGTTCCAGAACTGACCTGCATGTTCAAATTGGAACAATGACAAGCCAAATCTATCGAACCTATCGAGCGAAATTTTGCTTACAAATCTATTGGGACGTCATTCTGAAACAACGTATATGTTTGTTTCGGGGCGCCATGGCCGCACAATTTGTGTTTATGGATGATAACGCCCATCCTCACCGTGCAAACATTGTAAGCGAATGCCTTCAATCGAAGGATATCACCCGGATGGACTGGCCAGCATTTTCACCAAACTAGTATCCAGCAGAGCACATGTGGGATATGCTTGGCCGACGAGTTGCAGCCCGTCAACCTCCTCCTACATCTCTACTGGAACTTCAGAGAGCATTGCTTTTTGAGTGGTGTAATATCCCCCAAGATCAGATCGATAATTTGATACTCAGCATGCCTAGGCATTGTATAAACTGTATTGCATCGTCTGGGAGACATGGAATGTATTAACAATCATACCAACCATGTAATATTGGTTTTTTGTAAATAGGTTTTTTTTTTTTTTTTTTTTTGTAATTTGCTCCAGGGAGAAAAAATCGCTAATTTTTTTAATAATATCAAACATATAGGATCTTTTGCTCTTTATCTTTTGTTTAATAAATAAGCTTTACAAATACAGTGGATGGACAGAAATATGGAAACACCTTGTGAAATGCATGTTTGAAAAGAAAGATTGATTTTAATGAAATATGTAGGTGGCGCTGGCGTTTTTGACTACTGACGCCACCTATACAACTTCGTAAATGTGCTAAACAGTTCAGTTGTTGTCGGAGTACTGTTATGTGAGGTTGTCATTGCATTATGTCAGAGTTAACAGACTTCGAACGTGGGCAAATTGTTGGAGCACGTATGGTAGGTGCTTCCGTAAGCAAGGTAGCCGAGGTGTTTAGTGTTTCAAGAGGTACTGTATCGAAGATTTATTCCGCATATTTGAAAAGCGGAAAAAAAACATCATCTGCTAAATCACAGCGCGGACGAAAGTGTGTCCTGAGTGATCGTGACAGACGATCATTAAGGGCAATTGTGACGAAAAAATAAGAAGACCACAGCTGCAAAAGCTACTGCTGAAATGAATGTTGTGTTACCGAACCCTGTGAGTACCAAAACAATTAGAAGGGAGCTTAATAAACAGGGAATTGCTGGCCTTGCTGCAATTGAGAAGTCACTCATCAGTGATGCTAATGCCCGTAACAGGAAAAAGTGGTGTTTAAGTCATAAAGCCTGGACTATAGAGCAGTGGAAGCGAATAATATGGTCTGACGAGTCTTCTTTCACATTGTTTCCCACTTCTGGCCGAGTTTACATCTGGAGAACACCATCTCAAGCCTATAATACAGACTGCTTGTTGCCAAGAGTGAAACATGGCGGGGGTTTTCTGTTATGGTTTGGGCAGCCATATCGTGATTCTCTGCTAGCCCCATGATAACTGTGTCAGGGCACATGACTGTCAAGACTTATGTCTGGCATTTTGACATTTTGTCTGACATTTGTATGTGAACATTTTGGCCGATCAAGTTCATCCCATGGTACAAACTTTGTTCCCCAATGGGGATGGTGTCTTCCAAGACGACAAAGCCCCTGTTCACACAGCTCACATTGTCCAGGACTGGTTTTCTGAGCACGAGGATGAGTTGTCCCATCTCCCCTGGCCACCACAGTTACCAGACCTGAATATTATCTAACCTTTGTGGTCTACATTGGAACGGAAAGTGCGTTCTCGTTATCCACTGCCAACATCGTTATCTGAACTTGCCACCGTTTTGCAGGAAGAATGGTATAATATTCCCTTGGCAACATACAGGAACTGTATTTATCCATTCCGAGAAGACTGCAAGCTGTTTTGGAGAGCCGACGGGTTTCCTACACCATATTAAGCAAAGAAACATGTTTTTTTTAAAGGTGTTTCCATATTTTTGTCCAACCCCTGTAAGTCAAATTTGTTTTGCTTCTAACTCTTCCTTTGCCTGATTTTGCATTATCCTTAATTTACGGACATGAGTGTATTATGTAATACTTAAAGAATAGTAAAATTTAGTGAATGATTGCATCATCTCTTGCAAGTATAAAAATGAAAACACTTGTAGCAGATATTATAATTTGAATTTTGAGAGGCTGTAAAATGTTGTGTGAGTGATATGTATCAGTATTGAAAATCTCGAACATCATTTAATGACTGAGTATTTGACAAAATGAAACATAATAGTTAAATATTCATGACCACATAGTTGCAATCTCTGGTGATGTGCCAGCTATCATTGCCACAAAAATGGATTTTCATAGACTATGGAAAGCATGCTTTGAGGACAGTGTCAAACCAGGTTGCTGTGTGGATCCGACAGTAAAGAAATGTGTCCTAGTACTGATTTTGTCTGTTTATTTCTTAAAAAAAATATATAGTTCATTCATTTTGTCATTGTACATTTCATAGAAAAGTTCAGGAAAAATTATAGAAAATTACAGATGATTACTATTAATACATACTTATGACTTATTTGTCAACATTTGTTGTTGCTTAAAGTATTATTTGTTTCTTTTTTGGGAATTAGTTATTTGTTTACAATTATTTTTCATTTACACAGTATTAAATCTTATAATAAACAGAAACTTCTTATTTTTGCTTTATATGACCATAATTAATTTAAAACTATGACCTATATGTCCATGGTTATATACATACATGCGTGTCAAATATTTTTATGCTTAAAATATATTTTATTCCTGAAATTAATTACATTATTGGCAATTATTTTGCACTTTTTAATACATAGATATTGGTACATTTTCAAATCTTGTTGTTTACAGAAATATCTTTTCGTTGCAGAAATTAATGTACACATTGAGATTGAAGTTTATGCAGATTAGAGAATTTTGCAGATTGCAGATCATAATCAAGTTTTATCTACAATTTTCCCTTCTTAATTTTTATATTATATCTGGACAGTTTACACATAAATAATTAATCATAAGATACTTGTACTTTAAGAATTATTAAATCAAGTGAATACAAAACTATTACAGTTTTTAAGTGTTCTGTATAAATAATAATAATGTTAGTAAAGAAAGGGAGGGATTATTTTGACTGAGGAAATTGTTTTCTAAGAGCACATCCAAATATTCATGCTTTTTGATTATCCACATCCTCACTGAAAAATCGTGAAAACGTATT